CGTATCATGTCGATCATGTCGTTGAAAACGGCAAAAGTGATTTGGGATTATCTCAAATCCGAGTATGAAGGAGATGAAAGAATTCGATGGATGCAGGTGCTAAACTTGGTTCGTGACTTTAAATTGCAAAATATGAAGGAGACAGAAACCATAAAAGAGTACTCTGATAGACTACTCAACATAGAAAATCGTGTCAAATTATTGGGATCTTCTCTGGAAGATTCAATGATTGTTCAGAAAAAAAATCTTTGTAACAATGCTTGAAAGATTTGAGGCTACCGTCACAATCTTAGAAAACACGAAGGATCTATCAAAGATTGCTTTGATAGAACTCTTAAGTGCTTTACAAGCATAAGAGCAGAAGTGTGTAATGAGGAAAGGAGCCGTCGAAGGAGCTCTACCAGTCAAGCATCAAGATGATGAAAAGAATAGGTGGCCCAAGAAAAAGAAATTTCAAGCTACAAGTGGACAAAGCTTTGCACTTGAGAACAGAAGCAAAACTGAAAATAAAAGATTAGAAGTAAAAAAAGATTACCCTCTATGTCAACATTGTGGCAAGAAATCTCATCCTCCTTTCAAATGCTGGAGAAGACCAGATGCAAAGTGCAACAAGTGCAATCAAATGGGACATGAAGCTGTCATTTGCAAGAATAAAGATCAACGGTAAGGAGATGAAACACAAGTGGCAGATCAAGAAGAAGATGACCAAATTTTCGTTGTAACTTGTTTCACGACTTATGAAACGGGTGAAAACTGGCTCATTGATAGTGGTTGCACTAATCATATGACACATGACAAGGAGTTGTTCAAGGAATTGAAGAGCACCGAGTCCAAGAATGTCAGAATTGGAAATGGTGAATATATTGCAGTTAAAGGAAAGGGAACTGCAGTCATTGCAAGCTGTTCAGAAATCAAGTTAATCACTGATGTTTTCTATGTACCAGATATTGATCAAAACTTGCTAAGTGTTGGTCAGTTAATAGAAAAGGGACTCAAAGTGATGTTCATGGAGAAGGCCTGTGTGATAGAGGATGCTACAAGCTAAAAGATGTTTGAAGTTAAGATGACAGGGAGGAGTTTTTCACTCAATCAAATGCATGAGGAACAAAATGAAAGCACTATGAAGATTCAATCAGCAATTGAGATGGTTGAGCATGTGAAAGTTGATGCAGGGCAGGGCTGAGGGAATTATAACTGGAGTCAACCTTACAGAAAACAATTGCAGACTTTTAGAGTTGAAAACTCACCTTTTGAGTATGGAAACAAAACTCCGAGCCATGTCGCGAATGAATGAAGAATTGAAAGATGAAATGGATAAGGCAATGGCGAGCCAATTTAATTCGGAGATGAGGCTGATAAAAGCTACTACAGAAGTCACAGAACTGAAAGCAAACCTCTTGGATAAGGAGACACAACTGCAAAGCATTATGGATAAGAATGAACAGCTAAAATTGGAGCTAAAGAGAGACAAGAAGCATTAGGAGAACTATGCTGCAACTATATTGGATGCTGAGAGAGCAAAAGCTGCAGAACAAGAAGTACTGATGAGACAAGGTGTTGTCAATGGGGAGGCTGAAAAGAATAACAAGAAGGCAATAAAGGTTTTAGAGCAGCTTGAGGTTGCTCGGGCAGTGAAATTAGAGATGGAGACTGAGCTGAGGAGGCTTAGGTTGCAGTTAGATCAATGGAGAAAGGCAGCCGAAGCAGTTGCAACAGTTCTCACACTAGGGAACAATGGCAGAATAGTTGAGAGGATGGACTCTCTTAAATCATACTACAATTCACTGCTCCCCGGGAAGTTGCTAAGCTCCCCTTTCTCCGACGACTTGGATTATGATTCTCCCAAGAGGAAGAATAGCAACATGCTAAGGAAAATTTTAATGGATCTCAATCTGGAGTAGAAAGAAAGCATTGAAATTTTTGTTGACAACCAAGCTGTCATTTTCGTTTCTCATAATCCTGTGTTTCATTAGAAAACTAAGCATTTCAACATCAAGTTATTTTTTCTAAGAGAAGTATAGAAAGAAGAATTTATGACTCTGGTTTACTGCAAATCTGAAGATAAGTTGGCGGATTTGTTTACAAAGTCACTTCCAATCAGCAAATTTGAGTTTTTAAGGCAGAAATTTGGTGTTCGCAGCTCCTAAAGCAAGAAGGAGTGTTGGAATACATGCTTAGAACTGTTGATTTAGTCTGAGTTTAATTGAGTCAAGTTTGTTCCTTAATCTTAGGAGTTAGTTGTTATTTTTCTTGATTTTGTTTCTTGTTATTTTCTCGGCTGATTTTTATGTCTTTTTCTTGGAAGTTTGTTATTAGCTCCAAGTTTCAAATATTGTAAGGCTACACAAAAGGTATGTAGTTCTAATTTTCCTTTCAATCTACAGTAATTCTCTTAAGTTTTTTATTCTTTCTCATTTCAAGAAACCAACATATGTCGACCACACCCTATTTCTTACTTGGTTAAGCCCTTTACAACTCCTCCATACCAAAAAATGATTACTCCCTTCCCCTTTAATGGCACCTCTCGGCCAAGGTAGGAAGTCAACCTTCCCCTCATCCCCACAATCCTATATATGTTCCAAATCCCCCAACATCATCCCCACCTCATACATCTACAAAGAGGGCCAAATCCACTAGCATTCATCACCCTTTAATGCGTCACCATCATCAAGGGATCTCGGAATTTCCCCTTTCTTGTGCGAGTAGAGGTGACTATGGTAAGTGGTAGTGGATTTGATCTCTACCGTAAATAGTTAGCATTGTTTTGAAAAGCTTATAGGACGATGGTGAATGTTATTGCATATGACATTACTATCCTGAATAGATGAGGAGACCAAAGACCAAAAAGAATGAGTTTGTTGTCTATCAAATGCATTTAGCGGATAAGACATGAGATGAATTTTTATATAGCGACTAATGGACGACAACTACCTCTGACAAATGGTGATCGTAGCATAAAAGTGCATGAAGCTCCTATTTATAAAAACGGAGAAGCATTTTCCATTCGAACTAAAAAGAACCCCGCAAACTACCAACACCATCAAACTCCAAAGGCAATACCAACACCATCAAACACCATCATGCAACCGCATCCTTAGGGTTCTAGATTATCGGACGGGCCAATTAGATGCCCTAGACATTGAGAACATAGGATGGCCAAGCCAAGACCATCTGGTGGCAGGCTCGGCCAAATGTCACATGATACTTCATTAGAATTCTCTTACAAAGTATGAAATTTGCAAGACCGATAATAAAGTTTAAAGTTGACACCACGCCACCACATGCATTAATTCTATGCTCATTTTCGTTTTCTTAATGAAACCCTTGGCCAAGAGTATACCAAACTTTTTTGAAAAAAGACTCAGCCAAACCAACAAGTTATTCGGCAGCCTGCTGATCAATGATGAACCAAAAATGAACATAGAGTTTTTAAACGGGAAAGTAACCGGAAGACCTTCAGTTTTAATCATTGTAAAGATTTATAACATTTTAAATATAAATTGTCAGCTTAGCGTTTAAATTACTCTTTAGATGAGTAATAAATACAAGACTGGAGTCCAGTTATGAAGGTATTGCAAAAGCAATGATTTTTATTTTTATTTTTTTTCTCATGAACATACCAATGGTCACAACAATCAAGCACCCCTCTGTCAATGACAATGTCCATACATATCCCACATCTCTCTTGTTCAAAAAGTGAGTCCATCTGCATAGCACGCAAGGTCTGTAAGTACAGAATAAAATCTTTTAAACTACAAAATTATGAAAATTTTCCAAATGCAGACCATTTGTTTCAAAGCATGCAAGTAAAAAATGGATGAACCTAAGAATCGCTCAAAAATGCAATTTATTTCCGGGAAAAGATAAGTCCTGCCACTTCTTCTTAAGAATGTAATACTTAAAAACAAAGTAACAGAAAATCATGACAGCTAAAATATAATAGATAGGCCAATTGTATTTCATGCCAGCAGCACAAAGTTCCATGAACTGCTATAAAACAAAGATATAAAGTATCAGAACACTGATTTATGAAACTTAAGGTACAAATTTAACTCATTTATAGCATCCATCTAGGAGTTGTAATAGAAAGAGAATCATATGAGATCTACAATATATTTCTTTTGTACAGCAAATATGCTTAAGCAATTCAGCCCAGATTGTTCCAAATTAGCTCAGTTCTTTTGTAGAATTCAGAAATTTTGTTTGGTTCATAAGAAGTGTATGGAACTAAGCCCCCAATCGGAGCACAATAACATTTGGTTCCTCCCAACCCGTGAGTAGGAACTTTGCTCAATAAATTAACCAGTCATCTCTTGTCATGAGAAGATTTTCCCTTGCAACTCCCAAACACTCAAGCGAAAACAAATTAAACTTAAAAGCCAGTGATACGGCGCACAACACACCAACCTTTCATAAATCCCAAGTTGCAACAAAAGCAAGCAAGCATGCTTCTTCCAAAATATTATCTTATTTTATAAAATGTAAATATTATGTTCATCATACCTCCCTAAATCACATCAAAATATATTCAAACTTTCAAAGATTGCACATTGTGAAAATTTGTTATCTAGTTTTCAAAGATGGTTATGTTTTTTTGCATAAAAAATGACCCTAATCCCATCAAAAGACTCAACTTTAAAGATATATAGAACACATGCTTTGAGACGCTTGAGGGTCTTGCCTGCAGTCCAACAATTCTGAAGGTTGGCAAAAAAAATCGAGGTGTGTTGGTGCAATGAAAGTGTTCAAGCGACATCTGGAGAACATTTTCTTTATCCAAAATGTGAAGAATGCAGAACCTTAGGGCATCAAAATTAAAGATAAGAATGTAGCCAAATTTGTGCAAATAAAACAGAGGAATTATTCTTCTCTTCATTCGGTTAAGCAACAAATTCACTTTGCCTTTTTCTAGCAACTGTGATCAACCCATAACTTATGGGCAGGGTATCCACAATTCTCAAGTACTGGTAGACTGATAGAAAGTTGAAATTGGAAACAGTGGCCTTAACTTGGTTTGTTATTTCTGCAATCACTTTTAGAAACTCAAAAAAAAAAGCAGAAAATTGTGTGATTTTATATTTAAATGGATTCAGTTTTTGTACAAATTCAGACTAGCTCTAAAATCCATTCTAATCACCATGCTTGAAATAACTTAGTAATAAATTTTGCTCAACACAGCAATATGTAAAAAATCTGTTCCTAGACGACTGAGAATGGAAATTTCACTGGGTTCTTAGAGAAGTTTTAATCTGTATGTTTGCTTCATATTCATATTACAAAAAGTAAGCAATTATTTTCTTTTCATTTATCAATCCTCATATGCACTGTAAGAAAATGAAACATCCATTCTGGCTGAATAATGAAGTTAACTAATATGTGGTGATGCTTTTCGTAGCATACTAGAATCCGAAAGACTTTGGGCAGAATACTAACTTCTGAAACTTCAGCTAAATTACCCATTTCTCATTTCTCAGTAATAAGACATGGATTTCTTTCTCAATAAGAGAAGTTTCATGGCTGTCTAAAAAACTCGAAGGGAAAATAACTAAATATCACTCATTTCACTGAACTTATTAATATGTTGCATATGAATTGCTGATTTGTTCCAAAAAAAGCAATAAAAACTTACAAAGCATGCATATATCAATCCAAAAAATATATATTTACACTACTATAAGAAAAAAAGAATAAATTTCTCAAAAAAATTGTGTCAACATGTGCTAATAACAAAAGGAACTGAGGATCACATTGCAGTCTTCATCTTCGATGCATAGCGCTTCCGATTCATCATTATTTCCCCATTCCAGGTCCATGCTGCAGCCAAAAGTGAGATTAAGAAATAAAATTAATACAATACACATAGAAAAATATAAGTTTCTCTGTAAATCAGAAAGCAAAAAAGGCCACTGCGCATAAGCATCAACAGAAACAAATGATTTGCACACTGAGACCCAAAATCTGAATCAACAAACGCTCTACAATCCACTGAGATTAATTCAAATAAATGATACAATGCATGCAACACATGAGTTAGAATCTGCGGACCAGTCCTCAGAAAAAAGCAATGGTTCGGGTGCTATGTATGCAACTATCCCCAGAAAAAATTATTTATCCAAGGTCGCGAATTATAACCATGAAGTTCCTGAATTATCACTTGTCATTCCAAATAAAAAAAATGCAAGTATTTCTTTGGTATCAAATGTTGCAGATAAAAAGTGCTCCCAATCTTCTCCGTCTGTTCAGATACTATAAGCTTCATTCCAAAATTAAAAAAGATTCCAAGCATGGGGTGAAATTACCAGGTAATTACTGAACATATCTACAACAAAAATTCCCACATGCCATTTGAAACAATAAAATATGGCGTATTTGGCTCCTTAACGATGGCAAAAGTGAAAAGGCATGGTAAAACATAGAAGGTTTACGTCGGATCGAGGAACTTTGAGGGATTGGCGGAGGAGCCAAGCTTCTTTGGCACTTAAAACCCACCTCCGTAAATCGAGTGTTTTGCAGGAAATCTTCGCAGAGTTCTCGAAATTTATGGCTGGAATCGGGAGAGAAACGGGAACGAAAGGCGCAGTTCAATATTTCTATGCAGGATTATTTAAATCCGTCCAGTTCATTGCGATTGTCAAACCAGACGACAGCCCCCGGCAAATGGGAAAAAATTTGGGTATAGATATTCGAAGATTATAATGTTGTTATACCCTCAAACATCCGTGTAATCTAGCTATATATATATATATACATGCGTATGCGTATTTTACTATAAGGTTATAGGGGCTATAATGAATAACCTTCAAATATCCTCCATGTAACTTATTTTCATGTTACAGACCTACAAACCTCTGCGTACGTCTTATGTACGAAATTTTTTTCCGCAATATTGATATATGCAGATAACTTGAAAATAGGTTACAGGGAGGATATTTGGATGTTAGAGGATATTTGGATGTTATAATCGGGTTATAGCCCATGTAACCTCCCTGTAACTTACATGTACCTTCTAGTAAGTTTCGCGCTTCTGTTTCCATGTATAAGTAGGTTGCAGAGGCTATAACGCGGTTATAACCTCCGAATATTCTCCACGGGTTATAGCCCATGTAACCTCCCTGTAACCTACATGTACCTTCTAGTAAGTTTTGCGCTTCTGTTTCCATATATAAGTAGGTTGCAGAGGCTATAATGCGGTTATAACCTCTGAATATCCTCCCTGTAACCCACTTACAGGTTAATGTACACATTTTTTTCCCTGCAAATGAGCGCATTTTCTGTCCCGACTACTAACTTAGCTATAAGTGCCTGCGGTGGAGCGGAAGTTATTACTGCTTTATTTGTGGATTATTTTAAATAATTCCGAGATAACTCAAAAATAAAGACAGCGGGTTATTTCTAAGTTATTTCAGAATTATTGAAAATAACATAGAAATAAACTGAAAATAACTCAAGAATAACATTCGCAGTACGTAAAGCTACGTCAGGAGTCCGCACAAAAAAATTAGGCCCTGCAAATTGAAAATTTCACTATATATAAATTTTCGTACAAAATTTTAGGGGATCGGGACCTCTCACAATTAGACAACTTACTAAAAGTTTATAGGTCGGGAATAACCTGCAAATGTGCAAAATCAATATATAAATTTTCCTATTATTTTGTAAGGGCTAGGGATCACATTTTTTTAATCAAATAAAATTATATTAATTATTATAATTTTATTATCATTATTAAATTGATTTATATCAAAAGGTGGCAATTGCAATGGTTTATGGCTATATACAACTAGAAGTTGTTACATCTAAATTTGTTTGACATATACACCACTTAAATAAGGATACTCGGGAGAAAAATAAAAGCGGGGTGAACAGTGGAAACTTAAACAAAGGGAAGAGAAATGAGATTAGCTTCATATTATTACTCATGTTATCTCTTTGTAATATATCACATGATGATGACATTTGTGTATGTTACCTATCTTTATATATGAAATTGTATTCTAGAAACTTGGAATTAACAAAAGCGGGAACGAACAATCAGACAATAAAAGTGAATATAAAAACATGAGTTGAATCCTCCCTGAACCAGACCCTAGAAGCTTTCAATTATCTTCACTCGGCTATTTAAATCCTGAATAGGGATCCTTCGGGAACGACAAAGATAGCGGCGAGCAGGTGACCAACTAGCTGGGGCTTCCAAGAGAGGAGGGAGCAGCATGGGAAAGAGAGAGAGTGAGTGAGCAAGATAATAATGTGGGATATGTAGTAATGAACGATGTTTTCTAGTAGCTAACCCCACCTATGGGAAAGCGCAAGGAAGACGTGTTATCAATTTTAAGGGCTTTAAGTTGGTCATTCTAGAGAAATCAAGGAGGGAAAATGAAAAATAAATAGTCATTAGTGCCATTTTTTTTTCTTTCTTTATACCATCTTCTTCTTCTTCTTGCGTGGAGAGCCTCTGTATCTTCCATCCTTTAATTTTTTTATTTTGGTAAATCCTGGCTTTGTGTAAAGTGATAGTGAGAGGTTTATTGAGAAGATTCTTTAGTCGAATATCTTAACCAAGATTTATTCATACTATGTGATTGATCGTTGATTTACTTAGAGCTAGTCTTTAGGTTAGGACTTCTCATGCGTGGAAAAATATGCTCTGTAGAGCTGAGTATCTTTCCTATTGTGAGCCTTAGGCCCTAACCCCGATGGGTCAGAATCTCAATTTCCCACTTGAAAGATTTACACGTCTGAAATGATTCCATTCAGAAATATTCAAAATTTAAAAAATATCCTTACCTGACGAGCTTAGGGCAAGGAGGCAGGAGAGAAGCCTTCGAACGAAAGAATAAATCAGGAATGTGGAATGTTTCGTGAGAGCAGCTTCATAAAAGCTAGGGGACCAAACGCGGATCACGGGGATAGACCTGTGGTCCACGTGTAATGTAAAATAGGAAACATCATTTCCATAAACGTGACCCAAATGCGCGAAACAAACGGTGAGGCAACGTTTTCAAAATGCTGCCGCACTTATAAGTTGCCCCAAACGGACCCTTATTTTCATTGTTGAACTCTATTTATGTTTATGTTTGGTATTTCAATGTTTAGATTTCAGTGTTAGGATGTTTGGTTTACTTTGGACACTGAATTAGATGTTTGGGCTTGAAAATTGTTAGTTTGTAATAGCTCAAATTTTATGTATAAAAGTGAGTTTTGTGTTGTTTGTGAAAGTTTGGTGTTAGAGTAGTGTTAATTATGAGTATAAATTTTTATTTGAGTTAATTAGAGGTTGACGTAAAGCGGTACATAACAGATTTCCTCATAAAACAAAATCTTGAAAAAATAAGGTGATGGCACCTGAAGCGCCAGATTTGGCGCCTAAAGTGTCATTTGACAAAGAGTTGGCGCCTAAAACACCAAATTCCCGAAAATGCAAGATTGCCTAAAAAACCACAAAATCACCCAGTAAAACACCATTTTTACTACTTGGGTCCTCTCTTACCTCTAAACCGTAACCCAGGGCTTTACATTATGCACATTTGAGAAGATTTTGAAAGCCAACAAACTTAGATTTCATCTTCTCTTCATAAGAGCTTCACTTTAACCCAAATTAAGAGCTTCAATTTAATGAAATTTTTTTTTTATTTTCACCATGGATTTTTCCTACATTATGGGAGATCCAAAATTTGGGATTTTTTATGGAAAAGCTTGAAGAAAACCCATGGTAAAAAGTTCTTTACCAAATAATTTTACTTTGGAGTTAGATTTTTTATTTTGTGATTTATTTGGATTTTCATAGAAATTCCAATGGCTCCACGAGTAAAGAGAAGAAAGCCAACGTGAGATTTTAACGCAAGGAGATTCGTCAATTACAATGTCAAACACTATTATAATACTCAAATAGAATCGAGAAAACTGTCCAGGAACGAGCTTTTGCTAACCCGGGTGGAGAGATCGAGAGGTTGATCGTCGTCATAAATTGAGAGAGGTTTTGCTACTTCACTAAAGTAGCTATTGTGCCTATGATCCAGGAGTTCTATGTCAACCTACGATTTACTGTTGATGATCACATCCTTATGAGAGGTAAGCAAGTTGAGTTTTCAAGGGAAAGGATAAATGCATTTTATGGACTGAGGAATGCATTTCATTGTAAATATGTTACATTCGTGATGATTGATTCATCCTTGGATGAAGTGATTTCCTTTCTAACTGATGGAAAAGATTGATGGAAATCCTTTCTAATTGATGGAAAAGGAGAATGAAAAATTAAAAATAATAAGAAAGTTAACTTCTCTGCTTCCATGATGAATATTCAGTCAAAGGTATGACACTACTTCATCTCTATTAAATTACTACCAACAAATCATATGAGCAAAGTAATGAAAGATATAGTTGTGTTAAACTTCTACATTCAGAAAATGAAGGCAGTTGATGTTGGTGCTCTTATAATTTATCATGCTCGGAGTATAGTTGGTAGCGCTACAGCTCATGGTTTGGGTTACTCTGCCTTGATCTTCACTTTATGTGAACAATCAGGAGTAGAGTCCCATAGAAATAAGGAAAAGCTGCAGCCACATAATCCTATTGGGAAGCATACGGTTCAAAGAGTTGAATCATTTATTAAGTCCAGGAGTGGAAGTAGTGATAGACCCTCAACATCAGTTGTAGAGGCATCTGCTTCTCGCTCTGCTTCACTTGAAAATATTATGGAGCAGCTCATGTTTCAACAAATGAATATTTTAAATATGCAAAATAGGATTGGAGAAATTGAAACAAAGAATGCTTATATTGATAAATATAAGCAGAGGAGAGTTCAACATGATATAGCTTATGAGGAGGCTATGTTTAGATATCTTAGGGTTGAGTATAATGTGAAATTCCCAACTTGCTCCAGTGAAGGGTGACCAAAGGAAAATATGTTGAGATTTTCATACCTATTTTACATTATTTTTATGATATTGCACTTTAAAGAAAGGTATTTTTGATGTTTTGTTGCATGAATGATGAATTAGGGTCATTGGAGCAAAAAGATGCAAAAAGGGGCGAATTTGGAGCAAAAATGACCAAAATGTGAAGATTTGAACTAGGCCGCTGACGACGAGCCAAACGGTGCTGAAGACGGACTTTTCCCGAGACTCCAAATTTAATAATATAGAAGGCCCACCAACGACACCCTCGAGGCCGTCGACGGTGAGATCAGCGGTTATGTCCAACAATGCATTGGATGGGACAAATTTTGGAGGGGTGCGTAGGAAACTCTTGGGAAAACTCATCCACAATTTTAAAAGAAGATTTTGGCCAAAAATTGGAGAGGTCTTGGATGTTAGAGAGGTTCCAGCAGTATTTAGAGAGTTTAGTAGAGAGTCTAATTGTGAGGAATTCTTTGAGAGATTGTAAGAGTGGAGGGAAAGTGAGAGATTTCTTCCTCTTTGCCGCTTTGAGAGGAATTCTGTGTGCTGTAAATAAAGGAGGAGAGTCAGAGGAACTTCGAGGAGTTTACTTGGGCAGGAATTAGAGATAAGTGTTATTTACTTGTTGTAGTCTGTATGATTTTGCTTTTATTTATGAATTCCAAGTTTTGTTGTGTCTTCCCCATGAATTCTGAAAAGTTTTCTCTGTCTTTCTCCTTGTCTTGAGATCTGTGAAATGGTGATTTGAATTGGTTGAGCCATGAAAATGTTAAAGAAATTGTGAT